AGGGCCCCCCCCCCCCCCAGCGAGGATGGCCATGCTGCAGTCCCTTCTCTTCATTTTCCTCCTGGGATTTTGGGCAAACACACTTACATGCCCAGCATGAGTTTAAAGATGCCAGGTCCAGAACTCCAACTGCAGTCAACCATTGGGAGTCCAATGCCTTAACAATTATGCCACCTGTTGACCCCAGCCCATTTTTCTTAACCTGCTTTATTCACTTAACTATAGTATAAGAGATAAAAGGAAAATAATTTTAAAAGCTAGAATATGCATTTCTATATGTAAATACAGAGGAGTTGCCTACATGAAAGATATTACGAAATAATCAGATGCCCCCTGTATGTAGAATCACAATAATGGCAGCAGCTACAGATGCTGACCGGTTAAGAGATTCAGGCATTACGAAGAGGAGCTGGGCAGTGGTGCAGGTAAAACGCAATACTCTGTGCAGGCTGACCCACATGGATGGTTCCGAGTCCACATCCAGAGACCTCCCGGAGTACATGGGGTCCAATTGTGCCTATGTTATGGGACCAGCAAATGGTGGAATGGTTACATTGCTGGACTCCCACCTAGTCAACCGCGGTTTAAGTCCCGGACCCAATAGCTTAAAACTCATGCCAGGCGTGTGTGCCCAAGATCCTGAGAGGAGGGTGGAGGAGGAGTGATTGTGACATGGCCATCCCACCTGGGGGGGGGATTTCTCACTTTCTATCTCTACCTCTCTGTCTCTCCGGTGAGTGTGTGTGCCCTATAGTAAAAATCTCTCAAAAAAAATAAATAAATAAAAGAAAGAAGGTGCAACTCTTGCCCTTGAGGAGTTCCACTATCCCTGGAGAAACTAGGCACAATAGATGAAATGTCAGAATATCACTAGGCATTATGTAGTAGATTTCGTGATTGGAAAGCACACATTAAATATAATAGGAATTCAGAATTGGACAGTTGAAGGATGGGATGATGAAACTTTGGACAGAAAGGTGGGTCACTTGTAGTGGATCTTAAAAGAAAGCAGATATGCGTAACGAGAATGAGATTC